CCACAGAAGGAAACTGCGACAAAACCCTCATCTGTCCACGCAGCAGCGCTAGCACCGCCCAAGCTGGGCAGGAGACAGAATCAGTGTCCCGAGGGCCAGGCGGGGCCCAGAGGCCAGGCAGCCTCTGGAGGGAACATCTCACCTATCACCTCCCCGTGTCCCCCGACCCGAACCTTTGCACAATGGGGGCACTCCTCTCCAGGTCTGTGGCTGGGCATATTCTTAAGGAGCGCAGCCAAAGGTCCCAGCCTTGTCCTTTGGACACTGGTATGTGGATCCCAGGGGAGGAGCGTGCTGGGGTGACTGCCTAATTTCCACACATTAAGGCTGTGACTGAGACACAAACTCGAGAAGCTTCAAGTCCCAAGGACTGGGACCCCCTCGGGGAGGGGTCTGCTGCAGCCTGCGAACAGATGGAGAGCTGGCTCCCAGCCCCCTTGGCTGGTCAGCTTCAGGTCCCGCTGGCTCTGATCATCCAGGCCCTGGGAAAGCCAGCGGGTGGCATTTGAAGATGAGGTGGCCGAATACCACTGGGTAAAAACCAGTTTCTGCTTCCATTCTCTTCCCAAACCAAACCTGGTGCTGAGACCCTGGAATCTGGCCCAGCACGCCAGGGACCCATCTCGGGTACCTGCTTGCAAACCTCTCCCTAGCCTGCTTTTTGTCTTTCTTAGGCAGAAATTTGGCAGCATAGGGAGTTTCTTACTCTCACCTTTCATCTGAGTCTGTTTGTCCATAGCTAGACTAACAGGGGGCTTTTAAACCTAATGAATTCAATGTTCAAAGAATGGCCTCAAGCAAATGGAATGTCTCATGTTCCATTAGGGCAGAAGGCTGTCTGGGGCTTAACATTGTTTTTATTCACATGCAAAATACTTCCGAAAGCACCAATTTGAAAACTCAGAATCCTGAAACCAAATCACTAATCTTCCTCGTTCCTAAAATTTTTATCTCACTAGTGGTTACCTGATAGTTTAGTACCCTTTACATTTGGGAGAATTAAAAAAAAAAGGGCTACTATTTTGGGATTCTGATGTCCAATGGGTTTGTGTGTATTTCTTTTCCATGTATATTTCTTCTTCTCTATAAATACATTTAAATAGACTAAACACCTCCTCTGGCAGTTACTTCATCAAAACATGGAAAAAATGTTATGGTTGAGCATGGATTTATTTTGAGACTTACAAATGGTGTTCTGGAAACCCTTTGCAATTCGCCGGCGTACTGGGTTCTCTCAACCTTCCGACTAGGAGGAAGTTCCTGTCCCTGAATTCACAATTCACAGCTGTGCAAGGGTCCTCGTTATCAAGGGGGAGACCTGGGTGCTGGCTGGTGAACCTGCTAGTTACACACACACACACACAAGCCCGTCATAAAAGCGTATCAGCTCTCACAGATGCCAGATGAATGAAGCACGTGTCCCCTGAACTTCCTCTAACGGACAATGAAGTCTGAGACTGGAGCCCCTGAGATGGCCCATCTACTTTGTTTTTCTTCCTCCTGCCAAGCCCAGGCCCGAGATAACTAGCTAGTGTCCCTACACTCCTGGCAAGTAACACTTTGAAACATGACAGCCTTTCTCAGAAATAGTTTGAACAGGATTCTGTTTCTCCTGAAACTTCTTGGCCACGGATGATTCCCTTTCGTCCCTCCACTGTGCATTTCCAAATCCTCCATCCTCTCCCGCCTGGGAAGATTCTGTGCCTAGGGTCATCACTCGGAGGTTGGAGGAAGCACCTGGGGTGGTGCTGGGGCCCCCTGCAGAGTCGCTGTGAGCTGGGGTTTGGAAGAGGGAAGGGGGACAGGGATCAAGAGCTACACTTAACCATTTAATCCCCAGATTGTGAGACTGAGGGCCACCCTCTGTCACCGGTTTTTAGTGTGCTCTGAAACAGGATGACGAGGTAGGAGTTAGATACAAGTCACGGAGAACTGGACCTGTTTATTCAGGACCTGCGGGAGGGTGGGTCTGAGGAGCACAGCGCGAAGGCGGCGGACATCTCTCCTCCTCGTGGCCTCTCCCCTCGCTGAGAAAGCCAGGCTTTCCTGTGACGCTGAGGGGAACAAAGTGCTCCTCCCAGGAGCCGTCCACCCTCCACACGAGGCAACTCGACCATCCCCCGCCCACCAGTAAAATGCTTCAGTTAATTTTTGTTCAGGGCTGGATAATTTTGTGGCCACTAATTATATCTGCAGCTACGCATAGAGAGAGGCCTAAAAATAGCCCTTTGTCCTCTCACTGAAAGCACCTTTTCAAATATTAACCTCGCAGCCCTCCCCCCCCCCCCCAGGAGGCAGGCAGCTGACTCCGATCTTCCGGCGGCGGGCGGGGCGGGGCGGGGCGCAGCGGCTTCCCCAGGTCGGGACGCACCTGGATGCGCCCAGCGGGTGGAGGAGTCCCAGGTCCCGGAATTCACATTTCTTTCTGGAGAAGTCATGCCTAGGTTGGTGGAGCTCAGTGCTTAGCCTGTGTGAGGTGCTGGGTTCAATCCCCATGACCTCCACTAGGGAAAAAAAATAAAGAGAGAGAAGAAAAGACATGCCTTGAGTGCTCAGGGCCGGGCCCAGGGCCGAGGCCCCAGGTCTTAGAAAGACGACTGATGTTGACTAGGAACCCAACAAATATTTCCTGTTACTGAAAATGTCTTATCCAAGAGCCTGGTCTATAACATAAATACAGAATTTTAGTCATATGTTTAAGAAGAGGAAAAACACAGGCGTAGGTGGAATTTGCTGACCGGAGAGGAGAGTGGAAGGGTTTGTTAAAGAGCCTCCCTCCAGAGTCATACCGGCCTTGGGCTCAACTCTTGCTCTTCACTCTTACTGTCCACGTGACCTTGAGTAAAGGCATTTTCCTTTACTTCCTCCCTGTGAAATGGAGATAAATCCCTGTCCTGCGCACAACATTGACGAGTGAAGAAGGGAAACCATCATGTAAAACGTTCGGCAGTGTCCAGCTCGGGGCGAGCACCCGAAAGAGGAAGCCGTCCGTATCCTCACAATGGGAACCTCCAGGGTTTCTTGTGATCATCAAGGGGAAAAGTTCTGGTCCCCAAAAGAGAAACGGCCCTTTGTCAGTCCTGTCCTGTGACTGCGCTCTAAGGTGGACACAGATAAAGCCAAGCGTGATGCCCATTAAAAATTTAACTATATATCATATTCATTTATTATCAATCCACAGGATAATTTGATTGCTACATAAGCTCATAAAAGCTTTTTCATCTTTACAAAATTAAAAAAAAAATGTGCCAGAAGGATGTATTAACAACTGCCAATAAACAAGAGAAGGAAAATCTTAAAATTATAAATTTGCTGTAGAAAAGATAAAAAACAATTATATTTTCTTTAGAATTTTACCTTGAATAAAATATTCCCCTGTATAAAAAATAAAAAAACTTGCTCTGGTTAGAATTAGAGTATTTCGTCTTCAAATCTGGGAATTTGCATAACGTCTCCAGGATTGTTTTCCTCTGTACCGCGTGGCATTCAAGCATAGCAGATTAGAAAGATTTTTTTTTCTTTTTTTAAAGCAGTCTTAAAATGGGACATCTGCGGAGAAGTTCATTTTCTTCTCCTCCTCAGGGATGTGGAACACAGCCTTTGAGGGGAGGCAAAGGAGGAAAGAAACTGGATGGGAGGGGAGGGGAGAGGATGGGGTGGGGTGGAAGAGGAGGGGACGAGGAAGAGGACGGGAGGGGAGAGGAGAGGACGGGAGGGGAGGGGAGGGGAGGGGAGGGGAGGGGAGGTGGGAGGAAGGATGCTGACTGTGCTGTGGAACAGAGCAAGATCACAAGAAGGTCTACCTGTAAGTGCTTTAAGATAAGGTGCAGAAGCAGACTGCAATGTCGCTAGTACTGCCCTATGTACATATTCACAAGAATAAAAAATTCCAGCTAGTTCACATTTTCATATCCGTTCCGAGGCATCCACTCCACCATGCTGCCCTTGACCGCAGGCAATGCAGCACCCCACTGCCCGTGTGGGTGTTGGTCCTATGACGTCCTTGAACTTGAGGGAGCAGCCCTGGAAGATCCAGCAGGCCTAGGGATTCGCGTCTACCAATGGGCTGGAGTCCTGAGTTTAAAAAGAAGGTCCAGTACTGGAGTTGGACACAGAAATCACTGTTCTATTGTCAAGGTTTTTCCCTTAAGATTTGTCTAAAATAGGTGTCAGAGAGAAAAAATACAAACAAACAATAAGACAAAGCCAAGAAATCCCAACAACCACCGGGGGGGATCCAAAGGCTTAACAGCTCTTGACCCGGGCCTGGGTGATGTCAGACGTCTTCTTGATGACGCTGGCCCGGGTCTCCCGGTCGGGCCGACTGCTGCTGGGCGCGGGGGTCACGGAGGGGGCCAGGGGCAGGTCTGGGAAAGGGGGCCAGGAGCTGTTGTAAGGCACCGGACAGCTCTCCTCTTTGATGGTGACCTGGAGGTCGGGCTTGTTGGAGGTGACGAAGGTTGCCATGCTGGGCAGCAGGTAGGTGCTCCGCGTCCCCATGTTGCTCAGGTACTGCTTGCCTTCAATGTTCCTCTTCCGCCAGTGTGGCCGCCCCTTTCAAAGAAAACAAGAAAGATATGTGTTTTCTTTGCCTTCTCTTGAATGGCTTCTTTAAAATAACGTGCCCCTCTTCCTACGTGTCGGTGTCTGAATTTCTTAAGAGGCCCGTGGAGTTAACAAGAAGTGGAGCGACTCTGCAGCCCTGAACTGAAATCCGTCCCGTCATGCACGCCCCCGGCACCGGTTTCTCTGCCCTCTCACCCGCGCCCACTTACTACCTCCCAGAAACCTAGCCGAGACTGTTCTATGAAGGCAGGAAAACAAGGCGGCCGCTGGGCTTCTGGCTCCCCTCTACTCCCATCGCCCGGCCCCATCCTCAGGCAGCTCCGAGCCACGGCGGCTGGTGTGTCATGGTGGCTTGGTTTCTCCCTGACGGCCCGATCTGATCTTTGAGTCAACCTGCGTTCTCAGGAGGAGGGAGGCCAGGCGCTCGTGACAGCGGGGAATGCCCCTCGACTGCTTCCAAATGGGTACAGCCTAGAGCTCCCGTGTGGAAGCAGACGGAAGGAGCTGGAGTCCCACCTTGAAGAAACGGGGTCTGAATGGACGTAAGCATCCACATCTACTGTCTTTTCAGAATTCTTGGACAAGACTTGCAAATATTTGTACGTTGGGAAACTGCTAATTCCAAACACCACTAGTCAGTCTGTCTGTCTGTCTCTCACTCAAACACAGACACCAAGCAGGCCTCGCAGGAATACTTCCCCTCACCATTACAGCCATTTCCTGCCGTGTAGGAGCCCGTGTAGGGGAAGGAGGGAAATCAGAAGCAGGAGACTGAGAATCCGGACTGAACACACACCCGGCCTCTGGGCCCGGATCACAGAGGGCGGGGCCTCCAGGCATCGGGGAGCTACTTTTGCTCAGCACTTCCTGACGCTGACTTTTCATCCTGGCTTTCGGCCGCCCCTGGGACCTTGCATTTCTGCTTGGAAATCAGGATGTTTATGGAAGGAAGAATATCAACGTTTCCGGCCTTTTCCTGCCATCATAGCCTCCTTTCTGACGGTAACGTCTTACTCCCTCCCCTCCCATTCGGTTCCCAGAGCTTCATTTTATAATTCAAAATCCAAAAGCACTGTACATTTTACATTATGTCTATTTCACCACCACCAAAAAAAAAAAAAAAAAAAATCCAGAAGGGAAACTCGTGATCAGAAGGAAGAAAACTTGGCCAGCAGCAGGGACGCGGCGGGCGCGCGGGGAGCGGCCACCGGGCGCCTGCTGCAGCCACGGGCGGCCGCCTCGCTTACCTCTGAGCTCTCCTCGTCACTGGGCACACTATCGGTAGTTTCGCTTTCTGTTCACAGAGAGAAAAACACAGGGCCATCATTCCTGCCCCTCAAACTGTTTCGAGGCTCAGGCAGTGTTTTCAAAATGGATCAGCACTCCTTTCTTCAAAAGAGAACCGGGTCCCTAGACTCATCATCTCCGCCCCCCTGTGAGGTCCGACGCTGGGGCCTGGGCGGTGCCAGAGCGAATTTTACTCCTCTCACTTTGCTCCTTCAGGGGAAAGTTTGAGAGCTGAAGGGGGACTGGTGTTCCCTGAGCCAGGCTGTGTTTATTCTCGGCCTCTGGGTCCCGGGATGGGGTGCGACTGTCTCCCTTGCTGACTTAGAGGCTTGGACAACTAAGGACTACTTCCAGCCAACAGCCAGTGAGAAACTGAGGCCCTGCATCTGACAACCTGCCAGGAACTGCGTTCTGCCTCAAACCGTGTGAGCCTGGGAGCAGAGCCTCCCCAGCCCCATCCTCAGATGGGACAGCGGCCCTGGACCAGCCCTTAACTGCTGGTTTGTGCAGAGACTGCCCTGAGCAGAGGACCCAGCGAAGCCAGGCCTGCCCTCCTGATCCTCAGAAACTGTGGGATGAAAAACGTGTGTTGTTTTAGGCCAGTAAGTTTGTGGTTACATGGTCACGCAGCAATAGATAAGCTAATTCGGTTACCATCCCGATGCAACCTGCCAGCTGTGAGACACAGAACGAGTGACTTAACCTCACTGAGCCAGTTTCCTGATCTGTAAAACGGGAGTGTAAACACCTTCCAAAGGGGCTGATGTGATGACTGGGGAGAGGCCAGCATGGGCCTCGCTACACCCAGTAAGGGCCAGTGTGTCTTCGTCCTGTGCTCACTGGCCTCGTTCCACGCTGGATCTGCACGACAGGCTGGTTAACAGAGGCAGAGTCAACAGCTGGTGACTACATGTCACCTGGACACAGAATACAGGATTTGTTTAAAGCAACACATTTTTAATTTTTTTAAGTAAAAAAAAATTTTAACTGTTTTATATACAAAATGGATGGTGTGCAGTTTTTCAGTGTTCAGAGCGTTGAGAAATGAAAGCACAGCAGGCAGAACTTCCCAAACCCATGGCCCTCGGAGACCCTGAGTCTAGGTCATTCATCTCGCAGACAAGGCTGGGAGGGAACCCTAACAGTGAGCATTTACGGGGTGTTCTACCGAATGCCGGCGCCTCTGATGCAGGTCTTGTTCAGTCCCTCAAGGGCCCTAAGTCAGGGAGCAGCTCCCATCGCCCCCCCCCCCGCTTATGCAGAAGACCTTGTGTGTTCTTGGGCCTTCTACCCACTTCATTCCCAAACCCATGCAGGGACTGGCTTCCAGCCTCCAGTCTTGCTGGTGTCACAGCTGCGACCAGATGCCTCCCAGCCCAGACAGAGCCCTCCCGGCCACCCAGAGCACCAACAACAGACCAGGCTCTCCACGAATTAAAGCCTAAGGAACAAATGGACAAACTGAGTCACACATTCATTCCTCAAACAAAGAAACCGCAAGTGACTGCACTGGGGCCTTCATGCACGTTTCTGTGCCACTGTTCCCCAGTGACTTCACCCAAGTGATCGCCAAGGGTGACCCTCAGACCTAGAAGACGGGCCTGTCCACCCTGCAGGCTGTGCAGACTTTCCAGAAGCATCCCCGGTGGGGGCAGTAGACGCTCGAGAAGGCTTGACTCTCTAATTATCAAGGCAAACCGGCCCCACTGAGATGTTTCCACACCACAAGAAATTAAAAACAACAGCCAGGGAAAATGCCCCTCCTCACTTAAACTGCACACTCACTCAGGACCCCAGGAGGCAGGAATCAGCGCTGCCACTCCCGAGAAAAATGCGGAACAGAGATGTTGAGAAACCAGCCAAGGTTGTGGACTGAGTCAGCGCCAAGCAGGGACGACAGAGCAGCCTCTGATTCTGGGCCATGTGCCGAAGCTCTCCCGCGGCTCTGGCCTCTGATGAAACTTCAAGATCCCCTTTCCATTTTTGTGGCTCACTGTCTTTGTGCTCCGAAGCCAAAGTTTCTCTTCCTTTCCTGCATGTCTAGGCCCCTCCACTCCTAATCGTGCTCCCTGAACACCAACACCTTCTGTTCCTCTCCCTTCCAATAAAAACCCGATGCCACCAGGCGTGCTCCGGGGGTTGGAAATTGGCGAAAATGAGCAGGTAGCTCTGAGGTGCTGGGTCCCACCTCAGCCCAAGTCACAGATGCAGGAGGGGCGGGGAGGCAGACCCCGGGGAAGATTCCTGGGTAAGACCTTGGATGGCCATGAATGTGATCAGGTTGTTAATGGCCTGTAAGAAGCCAGTTTTCAACTTCAGGGAGACAGTCGGAGACAGAAGACACACATGCTCTGAACTTGCGTTTTCTGCTGACACTTGAGTTTTTTAGCTGAGAAGCATTGTTTCTAAACGGAGATCAACTACTTCTGAAGTTGTTTGGAAGACTCTTCGATTAGCAAACAGAGATTTCTAAATTTTATTGTTTAAAAGAAGGGCCTTGAGTGCCTTGAGCCTGGGAGCAGGAGATGCTTGAAGCACTAGCCCGAGGATCCAGACCCTTCTCTCTGGACGACACGGTGCTCACGACTACCCGAGTCACTGGCTCAAAGTGCTTTGCTGGGGGCACTCACACCCATTTGCCTCTGTGTTCTTGGTTCTCCTTCACCATTGCCACTTTCAAGATCGGTTCTTACCAACAAACGAGTTCACGGCAGCTGCTGCTTCCAGATCGACGTTACTGCCGATACGTCAGCGTGAGCTGTTTCATCTTCCCTTTTGCTTAGTTTGGATTTGGTTGTGTATTCGTTCCGAGTAGCATGGAATAAAACAAAACCTGGAGTTGCTTCCCTAGTATGGTCTGAACACGTTGCGGGTGTTTACAGAGTAATAACAGCGACCCAAGGAGTCTGTTTATCTTTCTGGTCCGTTTCCCTGAAAGCAACTGGGGTGAGAATGAAGGGAACGGTTTGGACTAGATGATCCCAAAGCTGCTTCTTCCAGAGCTGAGGTTTTGGAATGACGCCAGTCTTAGGTCACCTTCAAGTTAGCCCTGTTTTTACTGTCAGATCATCTCAGGAACACGATGGGGAGAGAGACAGTATGTTTTCTGCCACAGCCTTTTTGCACTATGACATCCTGGTGCATTTTCTGGAAGGCTCTTGTTCCACAAGTTTTACTAACAAGATCAACAAGGATTTCTTTCCCTCGATCATTTCCTCAATTACTTTCACTAGAAGGCTCGAAGAAAAGGTTCAAATCAGAGTCCTGTGAATCTCCAAGCACTTTTATTTTTGCCCCACCCAACTAAATGCAAGCCTGTTGTGGTTTCCATAAGGACCCAAAGTCTTGCCTGCTGGTTGCTGGTCAGTAGGAAATCTTTCTTGTCTCACGTATCACCAGTTAATCCTTTGTCTTAAGCTTTCTTCTTCATCTCTCATCCACTCTTCCCTGAAATACTCCCGGGGCTTCCTTTTACTGTATCACCAACAATCCTGGTGCCACTCATCAGGCAAAAGGCCACTTTATGGTAGATCTTTAAAAAACAAAATCACTCTTCTCTAGAGCCTCCCAAGGTTGAACTTTGGGACACCCCTCCCCAGGATGAAAGTTTTATGAATCCAACTAGAATTTTATGCCTTCTTGAAACAATAAAACCATCCAATGCAATGATGTATGTCAACTCAAAGAAACTGTCTCTTTTCTTGCTCACCATAATATTTAGACCAGGGAGAAGCCAGCCTTGCAAAAATGAATGTGGTTTTTATACTACTGGGATTATATTTCAATGATCAGTAGGAGGCCAAAACAGCAAACAACCACCTCCAAATACTGGTTTCCTAAACAAGTGGAGGAGAGGGTTAAAGGAGGTTGAAATTCAGTTGAAGAGTCCAAACAACGGAATCCTATCACGAAAAACAGGCAAACAGCCTATTCTCATGGGGAATATAAAGTTAGAAAGTTAATACACCCCCTAAATCTGCCTTTCCTGGTAGCGAGCTGTGAAGGCTCTTGTTTTAGCTACCCATGGCCAGTAACACGAGAGTTTCTTATGTGCCCGTGGGCTCTGGGAAAGCAGCAGTGATGACACATCTTGGTTCCATCCAATAAGCCTCCCTCCAGAGCGTTCAGGAGGATTCAGACAGCGGACACGACAGGAAGAAGTGCAGGCTGGGCTCCAGCCAGACCCCGGCTGCCTGCCGGCCTTGCCCGAAACGCCGCCTTTTCAACTCCTGCAAGTGTCCTGAAAAGGGTAATGAAATTTTCATTTCTCTCTCATGAGTCAGCTGTTTCGGGATTCTTTTGCTAAAGCAAAATGCCACTGCTGGCGGGAACAGCAAGAAGAGGCCTTTCCAGAATCCTCGAGAAGACTTTAGAGAAGTCTGACTCAATAGATAAACAGAAAAGTCTTCTCCAGCCTCCCCCCAACACACACACAAACACACACACACACACACACACACACTACACACACACACACACTACACACACACACACA